GCATTTTGCAGTAGCGGTAAAAAGTGGTTTATTTATTATGTACAGTGTACAGCCAATACAAAACGATAAAAATAGTAATTAGTGTGCAATACAATAAAATAAAAAGTTTGCCACAACTGTCTGTAAAAACAAATATACATTACAAATCAGTGAACTGTCTGTACAAATAATTAGCCACATATCTCCATGGGTCTGTTCCATTAAACACTTAAAATAGCTCTTTTCCACCTCATGCAGGAAGATTGGCAGCATATCACATGTCAACCGCCGGAGTCTGTTTTCGTAGACTTTTGAATGGACCGCGATTTCGTCATTAAGTTGACCCTTGCCAGTTCATTCTTCCAGGAGCGTACCTCAATCAGAGTGATTGCTTGTCCCGACTTTCCCGACGCCTGTTGAATCGGCCGCGGGAGGCGTCGGAAGGTGTGAAAAGGTGCCGTAAAGAGACGACGGTGCGGGACACACAAACCTGAGTAGGGCGCCGCGAATGCCCGACTGCCTCTGACGGCCTCTGACTCCCAAAATCGGACTGGTGTGTCCGGGCCTTAAGAGGCTAACCGCTTCACATGCACTTATCACATGCAATGATCCGACCACTGCTACAGTCATACAATAATATCTCACATTTTGACCTGAAATTGATGAAGAAGATTGGGTGTAACATTGTATCTCCAAATCATACACTTTAGTCGACCTTTCATATAACGCAGCATTTGACATTCAATTAAAAAACACAATCATCCTTTAACTGATCAGTAGCATTCATTATTTATTTGTGTCCAATAAACACTCAGTAACATTGTTGTGTGTTGTATGATTAAAAAGTTGACCTTATGCACATATGTCATTCAATAATAAACAATTGTTTACAAATATACATACTGATAGCTCAGACACCAGCCAGTCCAGTTACTTCAGTTCTTTGAAATATAATATTAAATACTGATAAAAAAAGGAAGTGAAACCAAATGTTGTATCCAGAATTATAACAAGGGCTTTTTAAAGACATGAGAGTTACTTTAGTTTCTGCTTAAAACAGAAGTAGTCGTCAAAGTCGTACCCTCTGGGAGGCGGAGCCATCACACTTCCTGTTCAGCCTTCTTCATCATAGACTGGGGAGAATATATAGAACATAGGCCACTCACGAATGAAGTCTTAAAGCTAAACAATGCAGAGAAAAACAAGAAAAACATTTTAAAGATACACCCCCCATAACCAAAACTGGTCCCACACAACAGATCTTGGAGGGTCCTAAACATCATCAACGGTGGGCAGCCAGGCTGTGGAGGCACAGGAGGATCAGGAGCCCTGCCCTTTTGTTTTAAATAGGGCAGATGTGTGCAAATCCTTTAAAAGGGTTAACCCACACAAGGCTCCTGGACCTGATGGCATCCCTGGCCGTGTTCTCAGGGTGTGTGCAGTTCAGCTGGCAGAGGTGTTCACAGACATCTTCAACAGGTCCCTGTTGCAGTCTGTAGTCCCCACATGCTTCAAACACTCCACCATCGTTCCTGTCCCCAAAAAGACAATAATCACCAGCCCCAACGACTACCGCCCAGTAGCACTCACCTCCATCATCATGAAGTGCTTTGAGCTGTTAGTCAAAACCTTCATCACCTCCTCCCTCCCTGACTCTCTGGACCCCCTGCAGTTTGCCTACAGAGCAAACAGGTCCACAGACGACGCCATAGCCCTCACCATCCACACTGCCCTCTCACACCTGGACCAGAGGAACACATAATGTGAGAATGCTGTTCATTGACTACAGTTCAGCTTTCAACACCATTGTGTCCTCCAAGCTGGTCATCAAGCTCATACCTCATTCACACCAACGGTGTTTCAGGGCCGGTTCGGAGCTGGAGCTTGAAAAGCACCGGGTGTTCCTGTTCACACCGCAGCGGAGCAGCCTCTTAGCTCCGGAATCCGGTTCGTTTCGAGCACCAAAAAATTGTCCGGCTAGAGCAAAAGCACCGCATACGTCACACTTACGTCGAGGCGGGGGCAGGGGCAGGGGTGGGATCAACTCCTGAACAACAACAAAAAGCCTGCGCTTTATCCAGTTTGTACACAACGATGGAGAAACTTAACAAGCAGCAGTGGTCCACTGAAGAGACCAGCTACCTACTGGGAATCTGGTCTTCCGAAGAGGTACAGAGGAAGCTGGAGGGGAGCAAAACCAAAACGAGTAGCGCTTCAACACAATCGGCCATTGTTGTTGTTGTCGGTGTGAGCTGTGAGGGGTTTCCGCGCGGTTTGGCTTTATGAAGCAGGCACGCAAACGGTTACGTCATGATGCAAACGATGACGCAGCACCAGTCGGACTCTGGGCGGTGTGAAAAGAGCCGGAGCTAAACCGAAGAACCAGTTCTGAACCTGAAAAGCTCTAGCACGGAGCTTGAACCGGAGTTGCGTTGGTGTGAATGAGGTATCAGAGACCTCGGGCTTAACAGCGCCCTCTGTGACTGGATCCTGAACTTCCTGAGGGGCAGACCCCAGGCAGTGCGGGTGGGAAACATCACATCCTCCACCCTGATCCTCAACACCGGATCCCTTCAAGGCTGTGTGCTCAGCCCTCTCCTCTACTCTCTGTTCACACACGACTGCGTGGCCACACACAGCTCCAACACCATCGTGAACCATAGAGAGCATCCTGACCTTCTACAGGTGCACCATAGAGAGGATCCTGACCTTCTACAGGTGCACCATAGAGAGGAGCCTGACCTTCTACAGGTGCACCATAGAGAGCATCCTGACCTTCTACAGGTGCACCATAGTGAGGATCCTGACCTTCTACAGGTGCACCATAGAGAGGATCCTGACCTTCTACAGGTGCACCATAGAGAGGATCCTGACCTTCTACAGGTGCACCATAGAGAGAATCCTGACCTTCTACAGGTGCAACATAGAGCATCCTGACCTTCTACAGGTGCACCATAGAGAGCATCCTGACCTTCTACAGGTGCACCATAGAGAGCATCCTGACCTTCTACAGGTGCACCATAGAGAGCATCCTGACCTTCTACAGGTGCACCATAGAGAGCATCCTGACCTTCTACAGGTGCACCATAGAGAGGATCCTGACCTTCTACAGGTGCACCATAGAGAGGATCCTGACCTTCTACAGGTGCACCATAGCGAGGATCCTGACCTTCTACAGGTGCACCATAGAGAGCATCCTGACTGGCTGCATCACGGCCTGGTACGGCAGCTGCACTGCCCTCAATCGTAAGGCTTTACAGAGGGTGGTGAAAACTGCACAGAACATCACCAGGACGGAGCTGCCATCCATGGAGGACCTTTACTCCCAGCGGGAAGAAAGCCCTCAGGATTATCAAAGACCCCCATCACCCCAGCCACAAACTGTTCTGTCTGCTGCCGTCTGGCAGGCGGTACCGCAGCATCCGGACAGAAACCACCAGACTCAGGGACAGTTTTATCCTACAGGCCATAAGACTATTAAACACCTGAACTTTTGAAACAACATCCATAACATTCATCTGACTGCTACTTAGAAATTATTGATCTAATATATAATATTCCAATCACTTGTATATAGACTCCTATTGCACTATCTTTTTATTTTTGTATTTACTTGCACTGTTGGAGCCTGTGACCTAAGCTTTTCATCGTCATAACTACACTGTAGCTATGTACGTATGACTAATAAAAGCCTTGAACACCTTGAGAACATGTGGAGATTTGGGGCCTTATTACAAAATGTACGTATGTTTGTATCTCTCAGGATTATCAACACATAACTCTGTGTTTAAATGATTTCCCATATTTCTCACTGCTATTACCACAAACTGTGCTTTATCTCCAATCCATTTCAAAGTGCACACTAAATAAGGCTGAGTCATGTCAACAGGTTCATATCAACAGAGACTAACAAAATAACAATAACATTGGACAGGTGGCTTTCTTGTGTTACATTTAGAATTTGTATGATTTCTTTTACAGTCGAAGATGGATCTTAGGTCAATATGTTTCAATGATGAAAATATAACATACCATCATTGTTTTAGTAACCTTTGACCCATTGTTGGACCAGATGGAATCAAAGTATCAACCATTTTGATGCATGATTTCCACTACAGTGAAAATATGATTTACATCTCGAAGAAAGCCTAACATCTTATTTAAATCAATTAAAAGGTTTTACATGTCAGCTGTTTGGAAACATATCTTTCTAAAGATCATCTTGAGGATACGTTATGTATGGAGACATTTAAGAAATGTTAAATATGTTAAATGTCGCAGATATACAGAGACATTCTAGTCTTCTGACAAAGCTCTTTAGACTGCATGCGGATTCACTCATTCACACATTCACACTGAGGGCAGGGTCTCCATACAGGGTCCCAAACTGCACACACACACACATTCACACTGAGGGCAGGGTCTCCATACAGGGTCCCAAACTGCACACACACACACATTCACACTGAGGGCAGGGTCTCCATACAGGGTCCCAAACTGCACACACACACACAAAATAAATGAATAACGCAAACATGTGTTATTTTTGACTGAGTATATCATTTAGAGTGTGTATGTTATATTTGTAAAAATGTCAAATAAAGAGGAGGATTGATAATAACTCTTTTTTTGGGACATAATGATTTAAATAAGAGCTATTTAAATGTTTCAATTCGAAAGTGGATTTACCTAAAAGGAACGATATGCGGCTTTACAGATGCTCTTTCCCAATGTAAGTCAATGATAAAAAAAATGTTGGCCAAATGGCATCACGTGATTGACACTAAAGTTGTAATTCACTCGTTTGTGTATATTTGCTCATTGACTGACTAAATAATTAATTTAGAATACTCAGAATTTGCCAAGCCACTACAGATGACTGATTGTACAAACCCAGTAGTAGAGGTGAAATACTGCCCCTGCTGCTTTAAAGCCGGGGGCTTGGAACTACACTTTGCACTTTTAACGAAGCAGAAAGTATCATTTAGAGAATATCCGCCTCATGGCAAAAAGATTACAGGTTAAAGAGGACACAATCATTTATTTTCCGATCATATACAGCATTTAACATAAATGGTATGGGAATCTATACGTGGTGTAATGAATGGGGAAAGCAACATTATTCTGGTGTGACTAATTTCTCTGGTTCTCCTTCTATTCCATCAAGACCAGATGCAACAGCACTTTGGAGTGAAGGCAAAATCCAACCCACAACACTGGTACAAACAGCTTTAGGCAACATATCTGAAATATGTGATGTAGTACTGCACTTTGATTAAATTGGCTGAAATGTGAGAGACATATTTGATCAAGAATGTTAAAAATAGAAGCAGCAGTCAAGCTCCAAAAATACACTGAATCCACCATTTTCCATATTGCATTTCAGCATCATCACATCTCTCCATGCCCGGCCTTTCACAATCAGCACCAGCAGGTTGTGATGAGGCCTTTCTCTTATAAACGTGTGGTCTCCAGCCTGTCTGTGCCAACATGAGATGGAGCTAGCAACAGACCCTGATCCTGTCTGTTGGAGGGAGCCTCTCACCTGAACCTGGAACTCAGCAGGGTCTCCGGCCCTTTCAGGCATTTCTTACCTTATGTTTCTGCCCCCATCTCTTAATAACAATGAAGTACATTTATAAATGTCAGCATTAGCATGAATGTTTCCTTAGTTCACGAAATGGCCGTTTTAGTCATCCTGCCCAAGGGGTTCTGCATCCAACTGTACCTTCTAACTTTGGAAGCAATCACGCCACTCCTAAAATGTGGCTTGAGCCGAGGCTACAATTTTGGCAACATTTTTTCTCCATCTCTGAAAAGCTTTGACAGTATCGTCTGACTCTCTATTTAATGTGTATTTAGTGTAGAGAGTTGTTGCCTATGCTTCTTTTCAGGATATTTTTCAGGCTTTCAACTATGGATGTGCACAGTCATCTAAATTCAGCCAATAGGAAGGCTATTTCTCTGAAATGACTTGTGATTGGCTTGAGTTTCTATCACTGAGAGCAGAACCAAGAGGAGGTACCGCAGTCTAGTTTTCTTTCAGTGCAATTCAATTACAATGTTATTACAGATTTTTGTAGTTTTTCATCTGTAATAATTTGAAGCCAAACATATGTTGCCTACCCCAGCCTTAATTTGTTTGTTTAAGGGTGTAGACATTATGTCCAGATAGTTGGCGCTCATTTGGCCAGAGGTCTCTTCCCCTCTTTGCTGTCAAGGTTTCAGAAAACTGCCACTATACTTCTGTTTATAGGTTGAATTGTTCAAGTATGTTATACTTCTAGCCAGATTGCAATCAGTGGTATCACTGCAGAGGTTTTAAATTGCGGTCAAATGTAAAACACACCTTGTGACATCATTAATGACCTCAGCACCCTGCGTTCCTTTATTTGGTCACATGTTACTGCTAAGTCACTCTTTAGAAGTAACCTGCTGTTGTGTATCTGTTCCATCTTGTAAATGTCAGTTATGTTCTCAGCAACAGTTACTCTATATAAATGAAATGAGGGTGTATCCTTTAAGGTTAATGGTGACAGGTTAGGTCAGGTATATATATAAGGTAAGTACAGTACGTGTCCTGGCCTTGTCTTGAATCCAAGTGTTGTCATCACTTCCCGTTGTGACAAACTGACAACCAATCAGAATCTGGATTTTCCCTTAAGTTAATAACTAATACAACTTTAGTTAAGACACTTGTGTGGCTTGTTAGACATAAAAAGATCTTGTAAACAAAGTTGATAAAAAGGGCAACTCAGGCTAAATGCACCAAGGAGAGAAACTCTTCTTTGTTCTGGGAAACCTCAGACCTGATCACATGGTTTAAAGTCTCATGCATCAGCAGCCTATCAGAAATGAGAAACTAACATGTCTTTACCACTTTTAGGACAAACAGTAACATGGCTAATAAAATGTAATATTACATGATTATAGACATAGGGAATATACAGTATGTATTCAAGCATACACAGAATACGTTTTTTCCATCCTCGATGAACCAATTCAATTTGGATGGCCGTCTAAAAAAAGATCTCTGCCTCCAATGGGCCAAAGTCTACCGAGCAGTTCACTAAGGATGGGAGGCCAGTGGTTCATGATGGACTAAGATAGCGGGGGGGAGGGCCACTTCAGCTGTTGGGGAGGGAATGGTGGTTGCGAGGTTATAGGTTGAGTTTGGTGATTGAGGAGATGCTAGGTGGCTGTAAATGGGCCTGGAGGAGAAGGTGGGGGAGAGACCTTGTGGAGCGGTAGTGGGGGAGTCCAAGCTCACCTCGTCCCCCTCCTCTGAGTCCCATACCTCGCTCTGCAGGTAGTCTGCGAACAGCGCCTTGGCCCGCTGCAGCACCCGGCTCAGGTTGTGGCGCCGCACCAGGCGGTCGAAGTGCATGGCCAGCTCGTTGTAGTCAAAGTTGTTCTTGATGATGTGGTCTCGATGCTCCAGCAAGATGGACAGGGACAGGAAGAGCATGAAGGGGTTTCCTTTGCCAAACTCCTGGGGGGGCGGCAGGGAACATGGTTTGATGCTGGTGGTCTCGGATTTTGATGAAGTGCTCATGTTAGCTGTATTGCTGGGGGATTTGTTGCCCGGTGAAGGGAGATTGTTGGAGGACGACCTGTTGGGGGAGGAGCCTCTCCCAAAGAACAGAGTGGGCGAAGAGAGCAGAAAGCGGTTGTGAGCGTGGGATGGAGACGCGTTTTTTACAGTGGGCGTGGAGGGGGACATAACCCCTGTGCTGCTGAGCACCTGGGCGGAGGAGGTCAGTACTTTAGTGAGAGTTCTAGTTAAACTCTGACTCCCATTCGTTGTGGAGTTTGGAGCAGAGTCTGGAGAAGCACCTGGCCAACTGGAGGGAGAAACTGGAGACGTGAGAGGGGCTGAGGGGCCGCTTTTCCACATTTGTAGGCCACTAGGAAAGAGAGGGGGTGATGATGCTGGAGAGGAACAGTTTTTTATGAGAGGAGTTTTCTCTCCTGGGTCGTCCTCACTCTCCACTGTGGACTGGCGCCTTGGGTTGCTTGTTACTGAGTCTGAAGACCCCAAACCCTGCTCACCATCCTCCATATGAAAGCTATCTTCATTTCGGGCAGTATAGTATTTAAACTCCCCGAAGCTAGTTTGCCTTTCCAGAGCTGGAGCCTGCAAATCTGCTTTTTCCTTTATCACTGGAGAAATATCACACTCATTGTCCTTGCTTCCCTTTCCTTTTTGACTTTCCTGTTCTGCTATGACAGCATCTCTGCTCACATCTTCTTCTCGTGAAGGCCTCAGCATATGCCGTCTACGTTGCTTCTCTTTTCGTTCCCCATCATCTCCCAGGCAGATCTGCACCCTCTTCTCCTTGTCTCTGCAGGACATCTCTACATTGACATTGGTTTCCACAGGCGGTCCAATAAGCTCCACTTCGGTTTCAGGAGGATCCGGGGGCAGGGAACTCCAGGTCACCTCCAGCATCCTCAAAGCGTCCTCAAATGCAAACTCTCGCTTGAGCTCCAGGAGCAGCCAGCGGTAACAGAAGAACAGGTCGTCGGCCCCCCTGGAAACCAGGTACGAGTAGAACTCAGGATCCGAGTACTGAAGGAGCAGTTTGAGGTGCTGGAACTTCACAGACATGAGCTGCCCATCAGGCCGGAAGTTTCCCTCCAAGCGTTTCATGATGCCACAGAAGCAAATGAACGCATGTGCCTCATTGTCCATCACCGCAAGTATAGGGGAGGCAATATCACTCATGCCTTGACAGTATGATATCTGAAAAACAACACAGGCACAACGTTACAGAATGTCTACAATTCTATCATATACAATTCTGCATGATTGTATTCATAAAAACTTTCATTAAAACTAAGAAACAAAGTTAAAAAGTATTTTTAACTCAAAGATAGACACCTTCCTATGCTTGAAAATATGTATACATTTAAAACCACCTCTGAAAACGACGACAATCAAACCTCTATGATCCATTAATGTGTGTGGGAGAGAAACTCCCTCTGGAGGGAACACAGGGATTTTAGCCTTTGCAGACCATTTACATGCACAAAAACCTATAGAACACACTACAGGAGAGGGAAAACCCCAAAAAGGACAATAGGGCTGTCAAATACGTATTAACGATAGCTTTTATACTGATTTTCCTTAATACGTAATTTACATTTTATTTGGGAAACAAGGTAGCCGTGTCCTTCAGAGTCAATGACACCATGCCTTGTTTTTGTATTTTTCCTCCTGTTACTGCAGCACTGCACGTAATGAGGTTCAGTTGACAACAATCTGCATTGATTGGATTTTTGTTATAATTATCATATCTCACATACTCCTGTATTAATATAATAATTTAATGGAAACTTATATAGAGCTTTTATTGATGTAATCCAATCTAATCTAGTAATTTCCACTACACGGCCCATCTTGGTTTTATTAACTTCTTCTATTACTAAATTTATTTTTCCGTGTACTGTAGTGAAGCGAGACATGACATGGCTTAATACTTTGGGTGACGTTACAGGATTCACATGGCAGGGTAAAACACACAAAAAAACAAATAAGAAGTGTTATATTTATGTGTGGGGCTTTCTGAGTGTCAGTTATGACTCAGCGATGTGGAATGTGTGTTACAGCTCAAACTGCTGACCATAGGCCTGTACTACGAAGCCGGATTTTGGCTTAGCGAGCTAACTTCAGGGAAAACTCTGGGTTTCCGGTCCTACGACACTGGTTCACTTCTTACCGGGCTAGATCTCCATGGTAACTTATGCTGAACGGCTAACCTGCTCCGGAGCAAGTTAGGTTCAAGGATAAGAGATCAACTCAGTGAAAGCACCGCCTGCTGACCAATCAGAGCTCAGTGTGCGGAGTTTAAAGCTATCAAGTCATATTACAGGAGAAAGGAAATACAGAAAAACGATAGTTACGTCTGTAACTACGGTTCTATGAGTCCCGGATGACCGCCAGAGGCGGTGCTTTAGCACTGGATATGTCCATCGTGCGCATGCGCAGCTCGAGTACCAATAACAACAAAGTTACCTGTGACCCACGTGACACCGGCTATATCAGCTGGTGTCATCAGAGGATCTGTTCCCAGAATCTCTGGGATACTCTGGCGGTCATCCGGGACTCATAGAACAGACGTTACAGACGTAACTATCGTTCTATTTCGTCCCTACTGACCGCCAGAGGCGGTGCTTTAGCACTGGATGACTTCTATCAACAATGTCATGAAGAATCCAAGCCCTTACTTACCTAGCTGGAAGCAGCGGAGCTCGGCCACAAGACCACGCCCAAAGGATGGGGAGTGGCGACATTGACCCGGTAAAACCTGGAGAATATGCCGGAAGACGCCCATGACGCCGCGGCGCAGATGGTCTTCAGGGGCACCCCTCTCAGGGCAGCCCAAGATGTTGAGATGCTCCTCGTAGAGTGGCATCTCATCCCTGATGGCGGGGGGCGGCCACTGGCCCCATAGGCATGCGAGATGGCATCGACAACCCAGTGGGACAGCCGCTGCTTAGAGAGAGCACGACCCTTCCTAGTGGCAAACGAAGAGCTGCTCTGACTGCAGTATACAGGCCGTAGCATCAATATACGCCCTTAGGGCACAGCAACTCAGGCGTGCCGGTCTCCTGTGGAATGTTAAAACGTGCCAGCTGGATAGGCTGATTGGAGTGGGCTAGTGGAAGCACCTTGGGCAGGAACGCCACATTCGGCCAGAGGGCAACACCCGAGCCATCGGAGTTCCACCTCAGGCATGTCCCGCTCACGGAGAGGGCATGTAGCTCTCCAACTCGCTTCCCTGAGGTTATGGCAAGCAGAAATGCTGCCTTCAGGGACAGCCACTTAAGCCCTACCTGGGCCAGGGGCTCGAAGGGAGGAGATGATAGGGCATCCAGCACTAGGGGCAGGTCCCAAGCCGGAGCCCTCGGGGTGCTAGGGGGACGCTGCCGTAAAGCCCTTCTCAGGACGCCCCGCCATGGCACCGTCGACTCCAACATGTCGGGCAGAGATAGCAGCCATATAAGCCTTCAAAGTGGAGTGAGAACGTCCACTATCCAGAAAGGACTGCAAGAACTCTAAAATGGTGGCCACAGAGCAATGCCCCGGATTCTCAGCCTTACCCAAACACCAGTGGGAGAAGAGCTTCCATTCGCACTCGTACTGTGCTCGAGTGGATGGTGCTCTGGCATTCAGGATAGTTTCCCTGACAGATGCCGTGAAAATGCTCAACAGCGGGTTGGGCCCCGCAGAGGCCAAGCCCAGAGCTGAAGGCGGTAAGGGTCGGGATGGCAGATCTGAACCCTGAGCTGTGACAGGAGGTCCTTCCTGTCGGGGAGACGCCACGGTGGGCTGCAGCAGAGACTGCGCAGCAGTGGGAACCAAACTCTCCCTGGCCAGCGGGGGGCGACCAGAAGGAGGCTGTGCCCCTGAGTAAGGACCCTCTGAAGCGTCTGTAGTATCAGAGGCAGTGGCGGGAAGGCATACAGGAGACTGTCTGGCCAGTCGTGCGCCAGAGCGTCCTGACCCATCGGGCTGGTCACCTCTGTCCAGGAGAACCAGAGGGGGCAGTGCCTCGACTCTTCCGAGGCAAAGAGGTCCACCTCGGCCCTGCCGAAAAGGCTCCAAATGGTCTCCACCACCTCTGGATGAAGCCTCCACTCCCCTGGTGGAGGCTTGTGCCGAGAGAGGAAATCTGCGACCTGATTCTGGACCCCTGGCAGAAAGACTGCCCGCATACTGGCCAGGTCGGGGGAACGCCCAAGACAAGAGGCTCTGTGAAACCCGGAGCAGTTGTGCAGACCTGGTGCCCCCCTGGTGGTTGATTTGGGAAACAGCGGACATGTTGTCCGACCGCACGAGCACATGCTTTCCCGCCAGTTGGGGTAAAAAGTGCATGAGTGCCAGCAGCACAGCCCGAAGCTCTAGCACATTGATATGGCGTGCACCTTCCTGGGCAGACCACTGACCCTGAACAGTCCCGCCCTGCCACACTGCACCCCACCCTGAGAGACATGCATCCACAGTGACAGTCTCCCGGCGGGATGGGATGGCGCCCATGGGCACACCCATCAGAAGATGGGCCCTGTCTCTCCAGCGGGACAGAGAGTGGAGGTACCGCTGAGACACCCTGACTCTTCTGTGCCTGTGCCACTTGGCGTCCAAGTGAAGGCTGTTCAGCCACATCTGCATGGGGCGCAGCGAGAAAACGCAGCTAAAGCCGGAAACTCAAAATGCTAATGATAGCTTGGCACAATGCCACGGTCAGAAAAAGTCTACAAAAGAGCACGAGAAGGGCAACTCCTGGGAGAGGGAGCGGGAACGCTGCCGTCACCAAAATCTGACTAATATAACATTAGCGTTAAGAAAGCTTACTTAAATATCTGCCACAACACAAGTAACCGGATCATAGTAACATTACGTACAGTCCTGTGAGTGCAGACGTCAATGTGCCCCATTATCATTCATATCACATCATAATGTATCATATTTCCTTATCTGAGTCAGCTGAGCCGTATCTGGCCGTGCAACACTCACAGTGTCACATACTGTATGCAGAAGTATTATTTTAAGCAACACATTAAGTTGACGAAACACTCGAGTCAAATGTAATTAAAGTCAGATCCACTCGTGTCTTAGACCGGCAGTGATATCATAAACCTGTTAATGTACGCATTCAAACACTTTTTCTGTTACCAGCTGTATTCACCTTGCAGGTGCAGCTATGTGGCTTTTATCCTGGATAAAGTGTTTAAGTCATGGATGTTTAAAGTTTAACTTCTTCATATTTGTCTAATATTATAGTTCACTTTTCATTCAGGAAGTATGACGCTGCGCTGTCAGTGCGCTTCTCCATGTTTGAGATTGGTCGAATGCTCCAAATACCACCCCTTTCATGTGAACGCGCACTCAGCCGGACAGAGAAACCCTGGCTTGAGTTACCGAGTTGACCGCTTAGCGAGAGCGCGTTTGTTTTGGATTAGGTAAGCCGGGTAACTCAAACATATCCAGGGTATGTTGAACTGGATTCGTAGTACAGGCCTCAGGTCGATGAGCAGTGTTGATGTTGTTTTTAGAACACCTGTATGCATACTTCAAATCCAACCTGCTCTCTGGTTATCTCCCACTCTTTGAAAACCTCTACATTAAGAGATTGAAAATTATGATTTAATAAGCCACATTTGATGTATAACCTCAGCTATGGAACACATGATATGATTTGGCTTCTGTGTTTTGCTTTGTTCTGTGTCTTGTATTAGTATTTGTTAAATAAAATAAAGAGTATTCACATTTATTCTTGCTATCTAACCCCTGATTGATGTGCACCCACCTGTGGATGTGTGATGGCGAAGGTGGTGAGCAGGTCGGTGAGGGCGGTGAGATGGGGGCTGTCCTCTGAGCCGGCATAGTAGGGGTGAGCACGGTCCGTCCTCAGCACGTCCTTCAGAACGTTCCCTCGGATGAACTCCAGGTCCTCGTAGCTGACCCGCGCGGTCCACTCCCTCTTCAGCTGGTCGTACTCCCTCGTCTTCCTCTTCATGTAGTCCATCCTCTCCTGTCCGCTCAGCCCGTCAGGGTAGACGTTCAGCAGGTACCGCCAGACCACCTGGCACAGACATTAAGTACAAATGATGTTTTGATTTGTTCATATTTTTTCAATTTTGTTGGTATTAGACACAGGCGGAGAATATGTCTGGGGTTATCTCTTTGGGGGAAAAAAAGTGTCAATATTTAGAGATTTTATCCTCATTTATGACAAACAACATGTAAAGCAACCTTAATCTACCAAATGAAAGGTGGTTTCTGCCCAACACATGGTTGTTTCTTGTCTTACTGATATACAATGCCAAGAATAAGTTCTAGCATCGAATAAGAACCGTATTTGACAGGCAGAATCAAAATAAATACACCTTATATGAATATAATTGAACACCCAACCCTGTTTATTTAGGACATGAGATTTTAAACATGTGTACTCCACCTTGCGCAGGGAAGGCTCCACCCCCCCGTGGTAGATGCGCAGCCGCAGCTCCTCGGGGCGGCTCAGCTGGCCCTGCCCGTTCAGGTAACCGTGAAACTCTGCGTCGCTCAGGGGGGGCTTGAAAGGCTTGATCTCCTCCCCGTACGCCCAGCTGAACGCCTGCTGTACCTTCGACAGGGTGCGGCCCACCTGAACACACAGAAACAAGCATCAGAGAAAAGACCCTGACAGAGGAGGGAAGGTGAAAGAGAGCTTGTGGTTGTGCTCAAACCACAAAAAAAGCAATGGCAATTCTAAAGCGTGGTGGTTACAAAATGAGTTCCTCTATGGAATATGTGTGTAACAGTGGATTTACATTTAGATTAAGAAACCCGGATCCAGTGAACGAATGACGAGGAACTTGTCAAATTTAAACTATTCAACATTAACTACACATACCCCCATGGAAGCTGTGGCCCCTCCTGATTCTCTGCAGCTGCTCACCAGTGAACCCTCTGTGTGAGCTCTGTAACAGGGCTCTGTGTCTGACCTCAGGTGAGCAGGTGACGTAGCAACAGTAATATTAGAATAGAACATTTCCAAACATCTATATCTTCTATGGCATACTCATATTTATTCTTAGTATTTAAAAAGGACAAAAACGGTCCACAATATATTCATATTTATTCTGTATTAGGTATTATTTATACCATATCTATAGTGTATTCATTTTCTACATTGCGGTTTGTAATGTTTACAGTGCCTTAAACTGTACGTAATGTAAATAATGTCAGATGTATATATTTACACTATACTAAAGATCACTCTGCACTAAGCTAATGTTTTGCTCTTCTGGTTGGATGTAAACCGCAATTCGGTGTCCCAGAACTTGTACTCCGTGTAATGACAATCAAGTTCAATCTGATCTGATAACAAACCGGTGAATGCACACACACAACATATAGCACACATTCAGACGGACTACAACAGACTGTATAGGAAGGCTGAGAAGCTGGACCTGGGTCAGCAGAGACTGGGTGAGGGGGAGGGCTGCAGACGCCAGTGTGCGGGTCCTCTCTGGGAGGAGCTGCTCTGAGCCAATCACGTCTTTGGGGCTGATGATGTCCCAGTCCTCCATCACTGGACCTGCAGGTGAACACAAAGTAGAACACATTCTCTATTCTGGCTCCAACTCTATGTTATATTCCTAATTTTAAGAATAGGTTCCCAATTCAAGCCTATTTAAGACATGTTTCCTAATGAACTTTTAGTGTAAGCATTGAAAGTGCATTATGAAAGAACCAATAGTGAACAACAGATCAGGTTAAGTAAGTCTTATGCCATGTCTTGATTAAGTGCTTATATGTTTGAACTTTCAACACTATGTTAAACCAAAAGGAGGACCATGAACCTTAGGCTAATTACTGTGAAACGACATAACATTAAATAAAGTCAGCATTTCACAGTGTGATACACAGTAGTAGATGTGTAGGCCTAACAAGTTATGCATGTATTGCATGAAGTATTATTCATTCAGATATTATTCAATCTTTAACTTTCCTTTTTTAATTTCAATTCCAACCTAAGTAATGACGAATCAATTCTTCATGATCAGTACACAAGGGCTGAGTATCTAGATCAGCTTTTAGTAGTCCAACAGAAAATTGTAGTGTTCCCACAGCGGACTTGCTTATGCTTAAATACATGGCCCAGTGTGATAAACGCAAATTCTCCTTCACATCTTTCCTTAACCCCGTGATGTTTTTCACTGAGGTTAAGGAAGTGTCTGGCTGTACCAGACAGTCAGACCGAGACACTGGGTCTGCGTCAGTCAGATAGTTATACAGAACCTCTTCTTCCTCTCCACTGAGGGCAGAGCGGCTCTACATCCAGTCACTATCCCCTCCAGAGGAACACGTGGTAAAACAAGACGGGAGGGACGGGGGCTCGTCAGTTAGCATGCTGATTTCAGTAGATATCTCTACACACAATATACAGTATATATAAATGCAGTGCACTTCTTTGACATACCGTCAACACTGTAATCTCCTCACATTCTGTTGATCATTGTAGTCACTTTAAATAATATTGTACATTTAAATTCTGCCATATCTTACACAGTCTAACTTTAAATGTGAATTAATTGAGAAAAATGTGACTTCATTCTTAAAAGGAAAGTCTTCATTTTAGATTCATTCACAGGGTGCATGAGGACAGATGCAACATTTAAACACACTCCGTTATCTGTTGTATTTTATAGTTTATCTTTTTGTCCTTGAGGCCTGCTTTGGGGACACACTGGACGTCTTACTTTCTTCTGAAGGCTTGATGTCCATCTTGAGCTGCAGAACTGGTTTGGCTGAACTGACGAACGCAGCATCCAGGTCCCCATCAGACAGCAGAGACAGATACATTTCAGCCCCGCTCCAGTCCCGGGACAGGTAACTGATCCCAAAGTTCCGCTTCCTAGTTTGGAAGACAAACAAGAAGAAAATGCTGACACGTGTAATGTGTCTATGTAGCAGCTGAGGCAGGGGGAGGACTCTTACCCGTTCAAATCAAAGGCTCTGATCAGAATGTGCTGAAGGACCTCCAGTGATGTAATCTGAGGATCTACAGCAAAGGAGCGGAATTCCACAGGAAGCACCTGATCACATTTCTGAAAGCATAACATCAAAAACATCATGATACTTTGGGAGTGAGGTGAGAACAAAATATACCATGTTCTGCAGTTAGGAAACAAGAATAGTGTCCATCAACAACAAGGAGCCTTTTGCTGATATCTAAAGTATTTTTCTATTACCCCCGTGTCCTGTTCCAATGCAATACAGAATCAATGTGTGCTGACTGTTTATTGTAGAGTGGGCTGATGGGGTAAAGGATATCTGACGAGGGGGCTGGGCAATGTTGTCTAATTCTTTATAGAAAACTTTGACAACAATATAGTAGGGCTGTGCGATTATGGCAAAAATCATAATCACGATTATTTGGGTCAATAATTGATATCACGATTATTAAATACGATTATTCATTGACTTTGAAAACTTTAAAACAAATTAAAATAATAATTTGAACAGTATCTGTTTAACTGTTGATTACCCTGAACGTATAATTCAACTGAAAAACCAATAAATTAAATAAATGATACATTTATATTTACATTTAAATAAATGATATCAAAATAATAAATACCAATAAAAAAGATCAACAAATATTTTGGAGCGCACTTCAACAAGCTACTAAACATATATAAATGAGATCAAATATGTTGCAGTGCTGTCACAACCTAGCAAAGCAAAATAATCGTTTTTTTCGATTATGTTGTTTTTGTAATTGTGGCAGGCCAAAATCGTAATTGCGATTAAAAAACGATTAATTGCACAGCCCTACAATATAGCTTGTTTTCTGGTCATTCAATTCATAATTAGTGTATGTGAAATAAATGGAACTGGATTGCATTTATACGGTGCCTTTCTAGTCTTTGCAACCACTCAAAGTGCCTTTATAACACAAGTCACACGTCAGGAGCTATTTAGGGTTCAGTATGTCGGCCACACAAACACTGGGTTTGTAAACTCCTGTGTGAACTAAATACTTGACAATTCAAAGTACTCAATATGTTTTATTATTAAGAAGTGCAAAATGAACCTACCAGTTGGGTGAAATCATAGAGAAAAGATATATATATGTCCAGCTACACACTGACTATAAGATATTGCATGGTAACAAACACAAAGCAGTCTGATTAAGAATATAGTTTGATATAACTGAAGACCTTGTTAAAAGCATTGAACTGAGCAGGGATGTTAAAACAATACTGCAATCTTTAAGTTATATTACATCAAATGATATCCTAAATTGCCCAGTCCTATGTTAAACTAATACCGGATACTATTTAATTATTGTCCAGCTGTAGTAAGAAGTATACAAAACACATAGCTATCGAGAGAGCAGTGTATTCCTACTCCATGATAATAACAAAACAACAGATTTGACACAACTTAACAATTTTGACACATATAATAAAGCAATGAAACAACAAATATGAGTTTAGCAGAGTTGGGAAGTAACTAAGTACATTACTCAAGTGCTGTACTTAAGTACAATTTTGAGATACTTGTACTTTACCATTTTATGCTACTTCTTATTTCTACTCCACAACAATTCAGAGGTAAATGGTGTACTTTGTCTCCACTACATGTATAATACCTTTAGTTACTTTACAGATGTGGATGAATGATGTGAAATATAACCAAGTGTTAAATCAGACTTTAGTTCCACCTGGAGTAAATTCACAAGCTACCCTGCAGTATACAAAGTCATTCAAACTAGCTGCACCTTTACCAGCTTTGAGAACACTTTCATGATCAATCATTATAAAACATATCATATATATTATTCTGAAATGGGCCAATCTGTACAATGATTACTTTGACTTTTGCTGCTTTAAGTATTTAGATGCCAACATGTTTTCTACTTGAGTAACATTTTGAAACAGGAGCTGCCACAGAAGGCTCCAGGTGACGTCAGGTAGTGCTGAGCAGGCAGTGACGTCAGTGTTACGTTCACTGCTGTGAGGAGCATTAGTCCTTTATACTGAGTTCTAATAGATAACTGTCAGCGTGTCAATCATCACTCGGCTGTTACAGTCATATAACAGCCAGAATGAGCGGATGGAAAGAATATTTGGTAACAGCGGCTGTCATAGAGAGCAGAGCGGCCACCGGAGAGAAGCTGAGCCCCAGCGGTACACAAAGCCTGTCCGGAAGCTGCTCCAGCACCAGGTCCATCTCTACGTTCAGCACGACAAAGAACTGCAGCACAGCCAGCCGACATTAATCAGTATTTTATTAAACTAGTAGTAATTAAACAGGGTGACGTGGTGCTAGCTAACTAGCGGACGTTGGCAGAATATTTGTTCCTCTTTCTGAATCCTCCTACCTTGACTTTGACCCGGACCACCCCCCTCTCCTCCTCTCCCGCCATCGTGCAGACTCCGTCTCTGATCAGGATGGTTGTTCTGGGTTTAGTTCTCCTTCTACACCGACATGATGAGCAATAACATGATAGCCGCTGTGCTGCTGTTATTCCGAGCTCTTCTTCTGCTTTGATTTCCAGCCGCTCTGCAGCGGTCTCAGCGCCCACTAGCGGACACAGCCTGCCTGCAGGCCCGGCCTGCACCCTGTCCTGTCCTCACCTCAGGACCATGGATTTATAATAAGGACAGGCTGCACTGGGCAGGGGTGCAAAGTAACGATATACTGAAGTGCTGTACTTAGGTACACATTTGAGGTACCTGTACTTTAACAAAGTGTTTTAATTTGTTACTACTTTATAGTTCTACTCTTCAACATCTTGGAACCCAATGTTGTACTTTCACTACATCTACAGTATGACTATTTTACAGATATATTTCTTACTTGCTATACAAAATCTGATTTTGACACACAATAGGAAAGCCTTTGAATTATGATTATTTGTTATAGATTAAACCATACAACATTATATGTAAGTAACTTAAACCACCAGTGGGTTCACAGAAAACTAATTCGTTTTTTGTTCAAAAATATTTGACAGTCTCAGCCAGGACATTTTCAGTGGGGTGGCCAGGATGGAACCAGTGATCATTTTGGGGTGGCATTGAAATCACTATTATATGAACATAAAAATACATCTCACTAGAAAATAAGGGGTTATTTAAGGCACCTCCAACACACCTCTACATTATTTGGGATTAAGTGGTGGAATAGATCAAATAATATTCAGTATATCTCTATTTTTTTCGTATTCCCACAGGCAAAGTATCAACGAAGCTTACATTATACAAATGTAATGCAATATACAGACTGTTTAGCTTATATAGAAATGTATGTATTGGGATAAACCCCTTGAGATGCACCATCTCGTTTTCAAGGGGGTCCCGACAATAGCAACAACTTGCAGACATACATAAACAAAAAGACAAAAAGCAAGCTTATGATGATCAGCAGCACTATGAGCTCATTCTCTCAGTGTATCACCAGGAATACAGAGACACACACACATCATTTAAATAAGAGTCTTTTAATTAAATGATTGGTTAAGAATAAACATCTTAAAGTAAATAACAATAAACAATAGCCCTTAACCCTGTAAGGCCCCAGGTTGTAATTTTACAACATTACTTTAAGCTATCCTAAAAAAGTCAGTAAATGTTTTGTTTTTTTAAAAGACTACATTTACATAGTCAAAAGGTCCTGTTGTTCAGCCTCACAATGCTCTTGGGTAGTAAATGTGTTTATAGGTCCTGGCCTCTGGCCATACACGCCAGGGATTTTGGGCCCCATGAAAAGATATCACATTGGGCCCCACCACCAGGCCCAGGCCATGCCAACCAAGCACAATTGCTGTAGCCACACCTCCAGAACCCAACCGACTCATTTATGCTTTAAATAACTCTACCTGTACAGGCTTGCATCTATCTCGTAGTCCAATACTAACCGCACAATATTTACTGACACTGAGCTGTGAAAATATAACACTGTGCAGACGTGCAACATTCTGCTGCAGTAGAATTCACTATTTGATATAAGACTAACATTCCTGACAATAGATCTCAATAGTCATCTTTTATGGTGTACATGCCTTTTTAATAATACAATTTTTTAATGGAACATTCTCAACATGAATGCATAAATCCAAATAAATATAACTTAAAGGGGACCTATCATGCAAAATGCACTTTTGTACGTCTTTTATACATGAATATGTGTCCCCGGTGTTCCAGGGAACTCACCAAGTGTCAGAAAACACAACCCTCTCTATTTTCCTCCATACCAAAATCTCTAAAAAAGGGGCTGCAACGGATCTGATCAAAACTGATCCAGATTTGAACACGTTACTGACGTCAGGACGGTGGCGCTACGGCTATTGGGCCAACTCTCCACCTATCAGGGGAATGTGGGGTTGGGCCACGGCCGGCCATTGCCGCTCGAAAGCGCTGGAGACGCTGTAGTACATATGCCAGGCCTGTAAGTGGCGCTGTAGTCTGCCACAAAAGCAGCGAAGAAGACTTCGGTAAGACCATGGTTAACCTTCTGTTTATTCTCTGCTGTGGCTTTCTTTCTCCCTCCCCGAGGCAAGCGTTTGCTCCCGCTGCAATGCAATCCCTCCCCGTCGAGGCAAGCACTGTAATTCTCTCCGGTTAGTCCACCAGCAGATGACAAACACCCACCTCTCCACCTCTTCCAAGGACCGAGGGGACCGTGCGGCAGAGTTTCAGTTTCAGTTTGTTTCGCCGGTCAAGATGTCCGTTAAAGTTTAAATCTTCCGGACAAAATTAGAAAAGTGCCGGTCAAAGGTCTGTTATGTATTGAGCTTTAAAACAAATGAATAACGACTCTATATAATAAAACACGGAGGACGGAGATCTATTTTTCTCCCCCTCTTCTGACAGCCCAGCAGCTGATCAGAGCACGTCTCCCCTCTCCTGCAGGGGGGCGTGGTCAGCAGAATCAGACCCGTAGACAGCAAACAGCACATAGAGCGAAATGAGGCATGGCTAAAATGCATGATCTGTTTGGTATTTTGAAAACAGAAACGTATAAATATACCTTATATAGGTATGGCCCTACAATATATCATTTAAATATAGCATGATAGGTCCACTTTAAATATGTGGAAAAATACTGTGTTTGAAATGTGTAATTGAAATTAGATGTTAGCTTTTTGTTTTGATATATATATATATGTTGTATTCAGTGGCGAGCCGTGACTTTTATACCTAGGCCCTCTGACCCCCACCCCTCCCCCCCCTTCCCTCGAAAAAAAAGAAGAGTTATTACGTCTCAGCGTATACTTCAGCGGAATATCAAACCAACGGCCCCGGGGGCAAAACGCATCAATGACAGCGACCCTCTACCACACAAAACAACACCATTTATATAAACACCTATCATGACAGGGCACCCACAGCCAAGTAACAATTACAAATGAATTAAGTCGGCACGGTGGCCCACATTGAAAATGACTTAGGCCTACCTTTGATGATCAAATGACTTAAACACAAAGTCCATCCTCCTGTCCTTTTGGATGAAGCACTTGATGGCGGGTCATGCAGCTGATCCTTTGCCACTCCAGTTTATCATTGTAACTCAATCTTGAAAATGACTCGGTTAATAATTTCGCAACGATGTCATCACTATCACTGAAATGAGCCAACTTATGCTAATCATAAATCTATCGATCATAAATCTATTGATTAGATTTAGGATTAGAAAATAATAAAAGTAGGGTAGACATGTGGATATTATCCAGCTGAACAAAACGTGCATTTATCTAACAGGTTCGTTTTCCACAAACCTTATTTCGAGCTATTACATCCATGAGAAATCCCATTGCTTTTCTGTCGAGGGAACCCGAGCGCAGCTTACTTCCAGGTTTTAGGACGCGTCACTGCACCACTTGCATAGAGTGGCGAAGTCACGCCCATCTACTTCCGCCCCATGAGACCTTATTTCGGAAAAATAATGTATTGAAGTCAATGGAGAGAGAAAACTTATCTTTCGATCCCGTGTGAATTGTGCCATGAATTACACATATGATGTTTGTCAATCTTAAAAAATAATTTCCATGTCAAAAAAGTCACAGTTTGTCGTAAAACTGTTGAAATATAAGACTATGAAAAATACGTAACTAGAAAGACTACAAATCCCAGAGTCGCGTAAGTGATGTTACAATTGTTTTCCTCCACTAAGAGATAGCTAAGATCAGCGCCATATAGATATAATCTATCTATATGGCGCTGGCTAAGATAAGATAACTTTAACAAGATGCCTGTGTGCTTAGTACCAGGTTGTTATTATACCAGCAATGGGTCTTGCTCGTTCTTTTGCTTCCCGTCTGATGAAAGGACCAGGAGTGGCTTGATCAAGTTAGCTACCTAGCTAGTAGCTAGCGTGTTAGTTAGCATTACAGCCTTGTCATTTGTATTAGCCTTAACATGAAGTAACATTAAGTAACCCAAAATGTTAAACAGTAAGAGTAGTAGTCATATTTCGTGAACCCTTTGAAGAGTACTGTCACCGGTGTGATCATTCTATAATACACAATTTAAGCCCGGGGGAGAAATGCTAACGCTAACGCTAGCATCGACGATCTTCTCTACTTCATGCTATCTGCACAAATGGTTGACATTAAACATTAAAACGACCAGGCAGTTCAGAGAGAATCAAAGGAAGGCAGGCAGGCAGCTTTGCATGACATTCTTCAGGACGTGTTTCATTGTGGTGATAGTGAGGGTAGTCAATCGTTTTGTTGACAAGACAGTAGTGACGGCCATCTTGGTGACGTGTGTTGTTGACCAGAGATGTAGTTCATTGAGCGTTTCACACAAACAAATGTGTTACTTCACAGTTTTACGGAAAAAAAAAATTTTGACTTGCAAAATTATCTTTTAAATTGACAAACATCATGTGTAATTCGTGGCACAATTCAAACGGGATCGAAAGATAATCTTTCTCTCTCCATTGACTTCAATACATAATTTTTCCGAAATAAGGTCCCATGGAGGTCCACCGGAAGGGGAGGGACTTCGCCACTCTATAAACCTCACAGCGGGCGGAACTTGTCATAAAGTCCGCGAAAATAAAGCCCACCCATTTAGAGGGAGGATATGATTGGTCAATTGTACTGTCATTTGACATTACTCTCTCATTGAGTTACTATAGCTGGCCCTCTGTGAATGTACAGAGGGACCAACAAGCTCTCCCGTCTTCACAGTACCGCAGAGACGGCATTTAACCCTTCACATTCCAACAGAAACTGAACAGGCAGATTCGAAGGATTTATTTCATTGGAAATGTTATTTTAAATACAATTAAATCAAATTATTTTGGTAAAACTAATGAAAAATGTAACAAAAAAAAATGTTTTTTTAAAAAACAATTCAAATATTATTTTTTAGAATATCTTAGGCCCTCACAGAGGGCCTAGAGGGCCCTGACGGCTCGCCACTGGTTGTATTCCAGTATCCCTTCAGATATGTTAAGTGGCATGGCATTCAACACAATGCTGCTCACCTCCTTCAGTTGGGAGAAAAGCTGGTTCAGGTTCAGCCTTATGGGGGGACACGGCTGCTGAG